GCTGCATCGATCTATCACCAGCTGCGCCGCCGCCAACGACGTGATCGATGGCCTCTGACCTCCCCGTTGATCTCCTGGAGGAGATCTTCCTCCGCCTTGACGACACGGCCGACCTCGCCCGCGCCTCCGCTGCCTGCGCTTCCTTCCGCCAAGTCGTCTCCAACAGCCGTTTCCTCCGCCGCTTCAGGTCCCTGCACCTCCGGCCCGTCCCCGTCCTTGGGTTGCTGCTCGACAACAATCGCCACTGCGAAACAGGAATATTCTACCCAGCCCAGCCGCCGCGGCGCTCCGCTCTGGCTGCCGGCGTCTTGGCGAAAGCCGCCGACTTCACCTTCTCTTTCCTCCCTGACCCCAAACACTGGCGCGTCTGCGATGCTCGCGACGGCCGTGTCCTCCTCACCCGGGGCCCTCATCGTCCCTACATGTTGGAGCTCGAGGACCTCGACCTTGCGGTCTGCGACCCCTTGCACGGGCGGCACGTCCAGATCCCGACCATCCCCGGCGACCTGCTACTGATGGCAATAACGAGGCAATCACATTCGGTGATTCCTTCCTCGTGCCGGCCGTCGACGATGATGATGAGTCGTCGTTGCTCCGGTTCCAGGTGATGTGCAGTGGTCTGTCCAAAACGGAGGTGGTGGCCTTCGTCTTCTCTTCAGCCAGCGGGCAATGGCGACGCGGCGCGTCTTTTCGCAATGGAAGCCACGAATGGACGAATTTACCTTGGTTGTGGTGTCGCCAGTACGTACGTGCACGGCCACGGCTGCGGCGTCTGCTGGGCGCATACAGCTGCAAACCTCATGCTTGTGTTTGACACGCGTGAGATGAAATTCTCCATCACTGACCTCCCACGCAAATGCATTGGGAAGTTTAGGATGGCTGTGGAGGCAGGGGATGGAAGGCTTGTTGTGTTAGGCCCCCTTTGGCACGGTTCATCCAAAACGGTTTCACCGGTGAAGCCAAAGCCGGTGAAGCCAGAAAAACTGGCTTTTCCCGGCTTCTAGTTCATTTTAACCCCGGCTTACAAAACAGCTTCACGCTACGGTGCCTCGATTTGCGCAAAATAGATGAAGCCGAAGCCGGCATAAGCCGTGCCAAAGAGGCCCTTGGTTCTCAGCAATCGATGCACGAGCACGACGATGCATCTGTATAGTAAGGCATGGCGAGACATCCAAGAACCGCAAGAGTGGTGGCACGAAAGTTCAATCCCAATGCCCGGGTTCCATTTGAGCCTTGCTGACATTGCTAATTGAGAGGCTGTGTGTGCTGGAATCCGATACTCAGCAAAAAAATCTCTAGGCAAGCTTCCCTCCACCGTTTTCTCCACCAAGTGTATGAAATTGTAAGAACCTTTCTTTTCCCTTTTTCCTTGCCCGTCGACAACTGAAATATGTGATTATATCCATCGATCGAGCTGCATTATTATATATATTATTAGTTTGGGGACATCTCTCTATATATTATGATGCTTCAGTTAACAGTATTAATTCTTGGTCAGGCTCTTTAGTGTTGACATCTACTTGTATTAGTATGATAATCAGGCTCTTGTCTTTAGTGTCTGTATTCTTGGTCATCCCTCTTCCCTATATATTGTATGTACTTTTAGTTGCTCTAATAGTATATTACTAAAATTGTTGAATGTTTTTAAAGATAGAATAAAGGAATATTTCCTGAGTGAAAAAATGGATTTCTTCAATTTCAACCTTTTTGGTTAGATTAATCCTGAACAACATGATGTTTTGTTAGCTCTATGGAGACAACACAACATCTTTTCTTTAATGCCACTTTGCAAGAATTATTTAGAATACCGTTTATATCACCTTTGGAATTCAGCCCCCTTCTAGCTTTGGGAACATGTTTGATTCTTGGTTGAATGCCAGTTGGCCGAAACATAAATCAAATATTTGTAGGAGCTGCTGCTTTTATGCTGGGCTATGTGGTTGCATTGAATAGATACGATATAGTATTAAAAAAATTCTAAATCTAATACATTTTGGCAGGTTATCTTTACAGCAACATATTAGATTTGACAATGGTCCCTACTACATAAAGAAGAGGCGAGATCAAACCTCCAGAATGGATGCAGATTGTTGGAGACGGTAATCATAGAGGTTTTTGCGAAGTTCGGTTAGAAATTTAGGAATAGAATTGAAGTGTAGCTTCTTTCTTCTCCTTTCTTTATTTGCAGTTTGATCTCTTGTGAGTTATGTGCTTGGTTTTGTATTGAACAGTTTGTGTACTCTTTTCTTAGAAAGTAGTAGCCGGAACTTTGATCACTCATGAAGCTATGGTTAGTCCGCAGTCCGCACTACACTTGCAGGGAGAAGTAATTTTTTTTTTGAAAGCAAAGCAAGCTTTATTACTCATCTAACCCAGCTGAATCGCTAGTCACCAACTCCTCAACATCTTGAGGAACACCATCCCAAGTTGTGAGGCAGGGGAGCAGGCTTTTTGCTGTTGGTCAAGCGGAGAGAACGGATGCATGTCTCGATATCTACTAGAAGCTGGGCCGCTCGAGCAGGCCGTGGCGTTACCCTGTAGCTATGTTTAGGTTGGGCTTTAATTGGTTTGGTTTGGGCCTTTAAATATATAATAACTATCGGACAATTTGGATCAAAATCTAGTTTCAAGCTGGACTACCCGTGGTCCCGCTTCTACACCGGAGTAGCTGATGCGCCAGATCAGACGGGACCTCTCTCAACTATCACGGTCATTCAATTTTTTTTCTCCGAAACTACAACTAGTTTTTTTTACCACCTTCAACTTTTAAAACCGTTTTTTTCACATTGGATGGTTTTGATTGTGGTTTTGCTAATAATTATTGGACTAAGTTAAAAGTTTAGAGAAGTAAATCGAAATAGAAATATTTGAAAAAAGAAACATAAAAAATTCATAAAAATAAATCGTCAAAATTTTATGTACATATTTTTACATAGAAAAAATAATGCAATTAAAATCCTAAAATCTGATTTAAAAATTCATAGAAAATTTGTTTTGCCTCCGAAAATTATGAAACTAATTTTAATTTTTTTCTAAAATCATGCTTTTATGTTGTCATGCATAGCTTGAAATTGTTTGAATGTTTCTAGACTTATTTTGATGCTTATTTGTCAGTAGAAACTGTCGATGTTGATCATCCGGTGGACCAATGGTGGATCACGCGCGCTCTTCACTCCCCGTGGATCGTAGAGCATGGGACAGGGCGCAGAGTGGGCGAAGGGCTGGGCTGGGCTGGGCTGGTCTGGTCTTCGCTGTACTGTGTACATACTGACAACAGAGCGGCAAGCAGCAGTGGTGTAACTTGTATGGGTGGCGTGGCGAGCAGAGGTGCTGCGGCTCTTTACGTTGATGGCAATTATATATGGGAGAGTGTGGGCATCTCCGCACCTGATCGATGTCAGATTATTAACACGGGACGGAGAAGCAGAGTCAGCGAGGCTCTGATCGACCATTAGCGTGTGGCCCCGTCGTCGTTCCGTCGGCAGCTTGGCACCTTCTTCTTCTTCTCGATAGGGTTCTGCTGCTGCACTGCAGCCCGCGAGGATCGATTTGCCTGAATCTGAATGGCGACCCAACTGCCGACGCCATGGGCAACAAGAGAGCGGCAAGCTAGCAGCGGTATAGGTATTTTCTTGTTCGATTTTAGTCAATTAATCTTCGTACTAATCATTGAATAATATAGCCAATTAATCTTCTTTATTAGTGAATACCAGAATAGTCCTATTTTTTTCTTCGAATTTAATTAGGTGTTGGAATTTATAAGATTACCAAAGAAATATCTGTCGTGGGACAGAGAAAAGAAAACAAAGGAAACTAGAAGACCAACTTATATTCTTTTTTTGATAAAAACACTCAAAAGAGTGTTTCACATATCAAAGATCAAAATGGTCTTCTTCTTCTTTCGGACGTCCACCGCCTGCCGGAGCATGAAAATAGCACGGCAGAGGCAGCAAAGAAAAGTGCCACCTACAAACACCCTCGCCAAACATGGTTTTGAAGACCGCAAAATCCACCCGCTTGCAGTACAACAGACCAAAAGAAGATGTCGAGATCGCCGCATCGAAAGCTAACCAACTGTTTTTTCTGATAAGCACACCAACTGCCAAGATCTGAACAAGATCAATAGATCTGACAAAACAGACTCTCACCGGTCCTTCGCTGACGCCAAATCGAATGTCGTCGAGGTAGGTAGAGAGAGACCGGAGAGACCTTATTATAAAGTACCAATGTTGCCGCTACCTTGGCGATGACACCAGAATGAAACTCTAGATCAACAAACCTAACCTAATCTAAAACTACGAAGGTAAAAGAGATCGGATCCCCGCTCCTCTGTCCACTGGTGAGATCGTCGATAAGGAGAGAGAGGAGGGGGACCAAGCAGTTTCTGAGAGAGGGCGATGGCGGCGCTGTTTTTCTTTTTTTTATTCAACGTGACCAACTTATAGTCTTCATGACAAACAAATGCAGAAATATCTTTTCATGAGAAACAAATGGATGTTGACGGAGTTCTATTCTTCGTTTTATGTAATGATGATTTTTTTCATTTTATTCTTCTTTTTTGTCCTGATATTGTTTGTCGAGTATAGACCATTATTAACAATATTAAATTAAGACTATGGGTTGTGGCATTAGACTTATTTCTCTTTTTGAAAGGTAAAATTACACATACATACACACGCGTAGAAACACTACACAAATTTATACTATACATAGACGTAAGGGCTCATTGCGATGAATTCGCTGTGTAGAGCCCTCGGAAACACGTAGGACCAACGCTGCGAACATGCTCGACCTTCAACTGTCTAAGACTTTTCTATATTATTACTTCAAAGTTCAAGCATAACTTCAAAACAAAAGTGCAAACATATCAACTGATTCTTTGGCTGTTTACTACGCTGGAGCTTCATGTTTTATTGAATGGGGGGAAAAGGAGACTGACGATGTGGTGGCATTATGTGTCTGTTTTCTCCATAATATAGGTCTTAAAACGTTAGTTCGTGCTAGAAAAGCTTCACATAATCCAAGGCTCGCTTTCCATCAAGTTTGTTTGACATGTAATGCGCAAAATAATCCTCCACTTTCACTGTCTTGTACAACACTTTTTCTGTTGTAGAGCCCATAACCGGTGAAACCACCCCATCGAACTTTGGATTGTGGAATGCAGATACCGATAATCGTTCATTACAAGCATTAATGATGACCCTATGCTCAATACTCTTGAACTTTCCGTTCGTCATAATCTGCAAGTGATAATAAACTCGGAATGAGGAAATATGAGATGCACAAGAATTTATCATGTATTAAATAGCTTAGGTTGTGTTTGGTTCTGGGATAAGAGGGAATGGATCCACTCCATTTTTTAGGATAGGATGGTTCCATCTCGGTGTTTGGTTGGGAGGATGGGGATGTCCTTGTTGCTCCGCGTTTGGTTGGAGGGATGGAGAGGAAGGGGACAACATCATGTTTGTGCGCCGTTAGACAACTGTTTGGTGGGGCCCACCCATCATCCTCTCATTGCTTCTTCTTCTTCCTTCAGCACGCCTTTGATCCGCACGCGCCATGCGGCTTCCCTCGCCAGGACACCTGCAGCGCCGTCGGGGCTGCCCGAGCCGTCGCTGGGGCCGAGCTCACCCATGGCCGGGGCCACCAGGGCTGCCGCTAGGGCCGAGCTCGCAAGCACCACCCCGAGTGCCCCAACCGACTCCACCCCGAGAGGGCGCTGCTGGAGCTCCGCCCGGATCTGCCGCAACATGGAGCTTTGCCTCAAGCGAGCACTGATGGAGCTCCGACCGAATCTGCCGCCTCCACATGAGGGTGCTGCTGGAGCTCCGCCCTATTCCGCGCCACCTCTGCCCCGACCGACCAGACCTGACGCCGATCCAACCGACCCCGCCCCGAGCGCCGCACTGACCGACCCCACCCCGACCGCGCACGAAGAAGAAGAGGCCGGAGCCGCGACAGCAAACGGAGACAAACGACGTCCACAAGGGATGAGTTGGTAACTGGATTTTTGTGGGACAGAGCGAGCCCCAAATCTAGAGGAATATTCCTCTCTGGGGACGATCCCGTCCTTGATGTCTCCCAACCAAACACCAGGACAAAGTGGGATATCCCACTTCGTCCAGTCCCGCCTCCAAACCAAACACTACCTTCACAGGTACATCAGCTTAGATTCTTGGGTGTGTATTGGATGATAACCAAACATCGCCAAACTTCCTAACTACACTCTAACTAAATGTTGGTTAACAATTTGTCCGTGACACTATAGATGATATTTAATTTAGCAAAGAAGTGAGTCAATTACTGGTGGACCAAGAATGTGGCAAACTTATATGTTAATGCTAAATCAGGCCAACACACTGGCAAGGGCTGGATCGTCGAGGCAGCACACGTCTTGGATACGCAACGAAGGTAGCTAGGTCAAAATGGCGATGCCGACCAGCAGAAAACTGTACATGAGTAAGTTGGTTCTCCCGGGATATTCGTACCTCAAGGAGATCGCCAACATTCACCAGTAATGCTTCAGGGTGTGGTTTCACCGGGATCCATGCATCGTGCCTTCTTATTTGGAGGCCTTGGACTGAATTAACTTGTGAAAGGATGGTAAAAAAAGATCCATCTGAATGTGGCGAGAATCCCAAAACCTTTTCGGGCATCGACGTGCACGGAGGGTAGTAATTCATCCTTAGAACTTGCACGGCATATTTGTCACTCATCAGTTCAGGATCGATATTTAGAATTCTTCCTATGGCTGTTGCAATGGAATGAGCAACTTTCTTCAATTCAAAAGAGTAATCTTCAAGGGATTTCCTGACATCGACAAAGGAATAAGATATGTTGTATAAGTCACTATGTAGAGAATTGATTTCAGCATGTAGTATTTCACAAAGTAATGCCAAAGCCCCTTGGACTTTTCTATGACCTCATCATAAAATTAATAAACGTCTATATCGCTATATATGTGTGCCCATATATATCTTACTAACCTGAAAGTAAGAGGTTGAGTAGGCCAATGTTTCATGTCACGAGCTGCAGGAGGCTGAGTAATGATGGCTAGCATGTCTGACCAGTCAAGCTTCTGATCATTGGAAACAACATATGCTTGACCATATCCTTGAAGGTCTCCTGGGGTTTGTGCGTAACAATTCTTCACATGTAGCGGAAGCTGAAAGAACTCCTGAATATCGCGCTTTATGTTTGCCATAACCTCTTCTGGAACTCCATGACTCAAAACCTGTGAATTAATTAATATTTGCAAATAGTTCAACATTCATGATTCAATAGGATTGAAATTCCCTTGGGAGGAAATGGTGGAATGGTATTGCAGTGAACTGCTATTCACCATTATATTTTCGATGACGAATCTACACCGTACCTACTCATTCTCTCCATTCCAAACTGTAAGTTGTTTTAGATTTCTAGATACATACCTTTTATTTGTCATGCATCTAGGTATCCACTATGTCTAAATATATAATAAAAATTATGTATCAAGATTCTAGAAAACCTAAAACAACGTATAATTTGGAAAGGAGATAGTACCTGAAAGAAACCCCACTCCTCGCAAGCAGATCTGAGCTTGGCTGCCTCCTCTTCCCAGGACTGTGGGTTGAGGAGTCTTCCAAGGTCAACCACCGGAAGCTCACCGGAGTGCTCGTAAAGGACTGCATCCTTGTCGATGTCCGGTCTGATGTACCGCTCCAGTGCCTCAGCCGTTAGGTCGCCGGCGTCGCAAGCCGCGAGATCCTGCACGTTCCTGACGGGGATCGTCGTACCCACCTGTGCTAGTCTCCTCTCACTGGCCATCACTAAACTCTATCGCCACTCAAAGCTTATTGCTTGTTTTGTTCTGGCTGTCAGGGTTAGCAGTTAGCACGCCACTACTAAGACAGCAAGATTTATAAGGTTGTACTGTGTATATATTATATATAGTTAGTAAGTACTCTACAAGTATTCCTCCTCCATTGTAAGTATCAGTAGCCAATCAGATGCATTCTTATCCCTTCTGGCGGCTAAGAGATGGATTATTCAGGGGCGGTACTGCCTAGTGGTGCACTAACCCATATACACTTGATTGATTAGTATTAGAACTCGATTATTCTGGGGCGGTACTGCCTGAGGTTCAGGGTTCGTACTTTGTTTGAAAACAGATTCTTGGGTGTGTTGACCAAACATCGCCAAACTTCCTAACTACACTCTAACTAAAATGTTGGCTAACAATTTATCCGTGATACTATAGATGATATTTAATTTAGCAAAGAAATGAGTCAATAACCGGTCGACCAAAAGAATATGGCAAACTATATGTTAATGCTAAATCAAGCCAACACACTGGAAAGGGCTAGATCGTCGAGGCAGCACATGTCTTGGGTACGCGGTGAAGGTAGGTCTAAATGGCGATGCCGACCAGCAGATAACTATACATGAGTAAGTTTGTGTAACAACTCGGGTGTTACGAGCTCGCTTAGCACCTAGGTTAAGGACTTGGAGAATCTAGCAAAATAAGTTTTCGAGTTTTAAGATTTTAAAACACACATGAAATGAAAATCCTAACAAAAAAAATAAAATAAGTAGTTTTAATGGTTTGGTACGGAAAACAATTTCTGTAAACAAAAATAAAATATGGCTTGTGTATGGCGCTTATGTAAAGATGATGAGCAAATAGTGAAGATGAGAATGCAACTTTAATTTTGAAAAATGAATATTATTAACTAGTGTTTTTGGGAGCTCAAAAATGGAATCCAAAATTTAAACTAGAACTTTTCGTTGAATCGGCAAAAAGTTGAAATTATAGTTAAAATGTCATTTTTTGCGAATTATATTGAGCAAAATAGTTAAATAGTGCTTAAGTATTTTGCTCCTATGGGTTAGTATGAAGTATGGACTATTGTGTGAAATACTTGTTGGTTGGAATTGATAGGGTTTAGGCCCCTTAAAAATTGTGACAAAAGTGTTAATGGTTGTTTAGTTCTAAGTTCTAACTGAACCCTTAGCCTTTTCTGAAAAGGATAGTAGACAATGCTATTTTGGCATTTAAATTCTAAATAAAATGTTTAAACACTAGCATCACGTTCTAACACTATTGGTTGCCTCTAAGTAAGTACTCGAGCATGGTATAGGTTGTAGTGGTGTTGAGTGGCATGTGCTTTCTTAAAAAATTCCCAAACTTCCTTAGAACGTGCTGTGACCATGTTGTTGGTGCTCTGTTAATGAACCAACGCTCAGTGTGACGAACCCACGTTGGCACCTCTCTATCTCCCTCGCTGTTCACCCTCCGGCCGTGCTTGTTGCCTGGATCCGAAGCCCTTAGGGTCTACTAGAGTCTCGAGCTTTTGTTTTAATCTCAACCGAGCTCTAATCGGTTGATTTTATGCTTTAAGATCTGTGCACGACATTGCCTCGGGCTGGCTGACCGGGTGTGCGTGGTCACCACGCTCGGGGTGCGACGTCGCGCATTGGTGCACCCACCACGCACGCGCGCACCACATCGCGCGTGGCGTTGCCGGTGGCCATCTCATCGCTGCCCCATGCTACGCGTCGGGCTGAGCCAGCCACGGCCACCCCGTTGTCGGGCCGACTAAGCTGTGCCTAGGCCTTGTGTGCGCGCGAGCATTGTGCCGCTACTCTGCGTCAGTGACACTGCTGCGTGGCCGCGCTGCGAGGCGCTGTCGCGATGCCGTTGTCGCTTGTCCCCGCTTCAGCCGCGTGCGCGCGCCATCTTGACTGCTGAGCCGCACGTGGGGTCGAGCCGAGGCTGTGGCCATCGTTGCCATGCTCGCATGGCAGTCGCCCCGCCCTACGATTCACCTACCGCGGGCCTGTGTCGCTGCCCGCCATGTCTGGGTCAACTGACCCCGGTCACAAGGTGACGGTGATGCCTCCCTGCTTCGCCCTGTCCCGCTAGCCGACGCCGGTGAACCCGCTCAAGCCCGACTATTGCATTCTAGCGTTCCACGTGTAGGCACGCCTTAATGGCTCTATCCAAGCACTAACCGACGCGCCTCCTGCCCCTCGCTCGTGCGGCCATATCCCCGTGCTGTTGTGCCTCATCGAGTCTTGGCCAGGCCACCTCAACCGCAGCCGCTCTAGGCCACCGTCCGTCGCGCCTCTTCCCAAGCTTAAATGCGCGGACCATAGCATCCCACCTAAATTCAGTGCCTCTGTAGCAAGGATTGGAAGCTAGCTTGCAAATCGACCCACACCAAGGCACAGACGAGACTTGTAGGCGACCAATTTAGCTTTTTGATCGCTGCCAGACATGTACGCCGCCGCGACCTAGGATTTGGGGGATAGCCACGACCCGAAGGTAAAAACCTCAATTGGTTGTGCCTCTGGGTTCGCTTTGATTCCCTCCAGCTGATGCTTGTGTCAGGTTGGTCTGAGTCCCCATTGTGGGTGCGGTGACGCTCCGGTGCCGCGCTCAGAGCACCGCCACGCGGTGCGGGCGCACGTGGCTAGACCACCTCAGCACTTCCCGGTATTGATCGTCACTACAGCTCGGTCCTCGGTGAGTTTCTAATGCTTCCCCGCCGTCTCTACCCCTCCGTTAGTGCCCTAGGTTGTCGAAACAGTCGCGCCGCCACCGCGGATAGCTGCTCGCCGCTGCAGCTCGCGTCAGTGCGTCCCTGAGCCCCTACCGCCACCCAACCTTGCGCATTTGGTCATAGAGGGTGGTCAGCCCCTTACTTCTGTCGTAGAGGGCCTAGTTTGCCTGGCGTAACCGCCCTATGCCGTCAGTCGCCGCACCGTCGAGTGCGGGAATCCCTAGGGACCTTCCCGTGATAAAGGTGGAAACACCCGAGGGTTTGTTTGCAAAGTCGCTGACGGTAGGAATAGTGCGCATGGTATTTGTATTATTACCTAAAAGCTCGGGGGTTTTCTGCAAAACCGTCACTGTGCGCGGGCGCCCCTGGCCTTAGGCAGTCGCGACGCGCGCGCAGCCACGCCCGCGCTGGGCTGCTGAGCCGAATTGACAGCCACCGGACCTTTTCTTTTCCTAAAGCATTTTCTAATTTAGTTTCTATGGTAAACTTGTAAATTCAATATAAATTTGTGTAGTTGACCAAAAATTGTGAAACCAATTTTTTTAGGTTCCTAAAATAATGATCTATTTGCTAGTATATTTTGTTCACATAGCTTTATAGTATTTTCAAGAGTAATCTAATTAAATTGAGATGCTTAATATTATACCTTCAAGAGTAATCTAATTAAATTGAGATGCTTCAAGAGTAACCTAATAATAGGAACAACGATGGATCATAGAATCGACCGGAGTAGCAGAAAAGATGGTGCCTTGATGATCGTGTCGCCACGATGGAATGCTAATCTTTGGTTAAATCTTACCCAGGCAAGCCCTGGTGCATAACCCCTATTATTCTGCACTTTATTTTATGCTTGTGTATTAAGTTTTAAGGAGTTGAATAAAACACACTTGCATATATATCTTCTTATCATATGAGTCTTACTAGTATGGCAGGATCATGTAATTGCTATGCTATAGGACCTCGGTAGAAGTCGAGTGATTATCGGTCACTCGCGAGAGATAGGAAAGATATTATTGTTGTTATTATCGTATTACTATCATAGGGAATATACATGAATGATAATTAGAGACCAGGTTGGTGTGCTTTGGATGATAATCGGTCACTCGCGAGAGATAGGACTGTGCTTTGGATTTGGATTTGGACTTGGCAACCGAGCGAGGCTCTGGTTGTACTTGTTCCGCCTGTGTCAATTGAGGACCGTCCGTTGGTGTGGATGGTAGTCAGGTCATAGACTTATTATCCTGAGCACATACTTGCTTATGGGAGCGGGAAAACTTGTTACTCTCTTGTCATGGGTTTTGGCTCTTTCCGGACCGGCTTTTAGGGGTGGGTATTAGGTGGAGGTCTAAGCACCATACTGAGGCCAGGTCTCAGGTGTTAGGGGCTTGGAGTCCAAGTTTGGACGGAGACTTGGATCCCATGACAGGAGTGGAACGAGTTGGTCTTGTTTGTGCCTGGGCTACAAGCGAGGCGTGTGTTTTGGGGTACCCAGCTGGGATACATTGATTCGCTAATCGCTGTTTCTTTGAGATAGTACCGACTTGGCTATGGTCTAGCACCATAGTAAGAACTGAAATATGAAAATGATAAAATGGTTCTGATTGCTTACCACATGCTTGAAAGTAGCATATGTGCTTACCTAGAATGATTAGCTAATCAACTAAAAATAACTGCTAAAACCTGTACATAAGGATACACTATTAGTAATGCTTCCTGCAATGCAATAACCTGTAAGCCAGATAGTCTTGCATATCCTTGGAGTCTTTTATTTTCTCCTATCGGGTAAGTCTTGCGGAGTACAATCAAGTACTCAGGGTTTTACTTCCCCTGTTGCAGGTGACAGGCGGATGCTAGGGCTGACTCTTGTGTGTGGAAACCTCCTTGTGGGCTCAGAGAGGATTCCTTTCACGCTGCGATTGTAGTGTTTAATTACAACCCTCACTAAAAGGTTTATAAGAAAATGTGTAAAATCTACTAGAATATCTTGTGTATAAATGGACACGATGTTAATGCTCCACCATATCATTAAGTTAATCTTTGTTTCCGCCGTAACTCTGATCATATGTTGTTATTACGCTGCAAGATAAAACTTGTGAACCTAAATATATAACTCGTTTACATGTAAACTGTTTTAATTCTGCTGTTGCATTCAACTTGTCTAATTATAATAAAGTGATGTAAAAAATGGTTAAAAATGTCGTAAGCTTTATCCACTCATTTACGATCCTGAGGGAAAAATATAGATTTTTGAGTTCTCCCTTG